GGCAATAAAATACATAGAATATTATTCAATAAATACTTTACGTGCCTAAGAATTCGATCAAGGATACAATTTACCTCTATATTTAATCTTTATTTATTACATAATTTGGTATAGATCATTTTTTTTTTTATTTTAATATAATGGAAATTATATATGAATGGGAGAATCATTATTAAAAAATAATTCGAAATATCTTTATCATATAACATAAACTAAAAATGTTCAAAATTTTTGTGCCTCTAAATTAAACCAATAAATTATTATATATAGTATTATTATAATATTACTATAGTATATATAAATTATCCTTAAAAAAATCCTTCTGTAAGTGCAGTACAATGATAAATTGAGATTAATATTAAAAAATAATTTTCAAAGTTTACTTGAATAGTCATTTTTCGTATAAATGCTTATATATTTTTACATATTATAACAAAGTAAAACGCATTGGTCATGGTAACGTTGAGAACGTTCGGGATAATGTCGAATTCGGCCGAAGATAAACGATTTCGGCCGACAAACTGATTTGGCTGGGAGTTGCTAAGCGCGAGTGACGTCACCGCTACGACGAGCCCTTCCACACCCCTAAACATCGGCCCCCGCAAGACCGCAACTCGTCCGACCGACGATCCAGACGGATTTCTGAGAAGGCCGCTACTGCCCAATCGGTGGACTCCGCATGTTCAATGTCGTTGACGTCGAACGGTGGCCTCAGTTGACATTTTTTTTTTCTTCTAAAGTTCTGCTGAAGTAGAAAAACTGTTAAAAATATTAGATATTATTTAGAACATATAATAACGAATAATAATAACAATATTAGTAAATTAGAGTTATTTTATTTTATATTATATTTTATTTTATTTTATACAATAATTATACCAATACTAATTAATAACAATAAAAAAAGTTTTTGTTGAAAAATTATTTAATTAATTTGTAAAAACTAGGTACTTTAAATGAAATGTTCTAAAAAGACGATTTTATATGATTCAATACAATTTATTAAATACATAAATAAATATATGATTCAAATCATATGAGAATTATAACTGAAATTTGATCATCTAAATATTTTATTACAAATAATATTTATTTCAATAATTACAAAATTGAGATATTAAATTAAATATATATATATTGAAAAAATAAATAATATCTCCACGTATATTTATTTCTATAAATTAAAAATCTTTTTAAAGCATAAAAATATTAAATTTATTTAAACATTTATGATAACAAACATGATAACATACTTTTTACATGTACGAGAAATCTCATGAGTTAAAATTAAAAATTAAAAATATATTTATTGTTAATTACATTAATCAATTAAATATAAATATAAATTCGGCATTAGTATTTTGATTATTATAACAACCATGAATATATCTCGTATTTCTTAGGAATTTCAACTTCATAAAAGATTATAAAACAAAACAAATCATTATATAAGCAAAATTATATATACACATATTATAGGCACAACAACATTTATACTAAAAAATAAATTAACAAGTCCTTTACGATTATTCTTATTCTATAATGATTTTTCTTCAAAACGTAAGTTACAAAACGTAATTGTTAAAAAAAAAACGTAGGATCATTAATAGATTATTGTGAATACTGCATGTGAAGATAGCAGTTGATCAAAAGCAAATCATATATAAGGAAAATTATTATAAATTCATGGCTCATACACAGATAAATATTTTTCGGATGAAAACATACTTTATATATAAATATCTATATATTTTAATCTCTATATATCAATTCCGATTGTCAGAATCAGGGTTACTGTTTAATTGCATATATGATTTAATTAGTATGATTTAGCAGTATTTACTTAATTTAATGAGATACTAATTATAGCGTAAAATATAGAAATACTAAATGAATGAAAATTAATTGCAAAAAATCATTAGTTATAATACTTCTAACATATAAAATATAGTTATGCAATGACATTATTGTTAAAATAAAGCCTGAAAATAAGAATATAATGTGCCCTAATTATCATAGAATAATTTACTTTTGAATTATTTAAAGTATTCTTAATTCAGTACTAAAATAAAATATGTTAATCGGTAAGAAAATGAACAAATAATATTGAGGTAAGGTTAAAATATTATTTTTGCATGAAATATTTTAGGGAAAAATCATTTGTATATTTATCTAGGATTTTGCGTGTTATCAATAGACATATGTTTTGATAGAAGTGTATTACTTAAAATAATTGAGATTGTATAGTTAGAAAAGAAACTTTTTCACAACAAAATCACAACATAATTGTTTATCATTATGTGGTATAATTTTTTTTACTTTATCATTAAGTTCAGTAAAATTTTATGATTGATTGTTATGATGATTGAATATTATTATGGTGATATTAATCTTCTTTTCATTAAATGCCGAATTTCTTCCATCATATTAGAAAGTTTTACAAATTTAAATATTTTAAAAGATTTATTTTATTTTAAAAGACATATTTTTTATATATTAGAAATATAATACTAAAACAAGTTTTTTATTTAAATATTCATGTAATAATAGATAATTTTATTCTTGATACCGATTTGAATAGAAAGTTAAGATTGTATTTGAAATTTTATCTGAAAAGTATAGGGCATCTTTTAAATATACAAATTTAACAATGATTAATAACATTTTTACAATGATTCTTTATTTTGTATTAATCAATCTTGTTATTTAATACTTCATATACACGATTGGCACGCAGTTATTCAATGCTGTGAAATAAAATTATATTTAAACTTGCGCATTTATTTACTTAATTCTTTACTTAATAAATAACGTAGTGTAAAATCGTTAAGAAGTTAAGATAGTTGGCCTGTTTGCTTATAAATATTAATTAACATTAAACATTAATTTTAATTATAGTTATTCATTAATAAATCATGTTGAAGACTTTGATATTTATCATAAAGAATATATTGCACACAATAATTAATATATTCCGAACTTGTATAGTATGAATTTTAAAAAATTCCAAAAGTATTTCGTATTTATGAAATAAAAAAACCCCAACTATTCATATTTAAGAAGAAAACGTCAAATAAGGAAAATCCTGGGGAAAATCGTGCAGAAACTTTGTCAGTAATTCATAGAGTAAAGACGACCCCTCATACAAAGTTAGAAAGGTGTTTGTCGGTGAACGACCGTTCGCTATGACGTGAGGGATGAAAGATATACTAGGCGATGACGTTACGAAGAAAGCGGAAGTTTCTTCCACAGTAGTAATTTAAACGCTTGTCTTCTTCCAAATCCTAACGCCCTAAGCTTGACGTTACGAAGTGTCAAAAAGATTGCAATTTTATGTTGATAAGTGAGATGCCATAAATCAAAGTAAGGGTAATAAAAATAATATTGAACTTAGTTATAAGATGTTACTATTTAGTTTCAATTTGCTGGATAATTGAAATTTGTTATAAAAATCAATTTCTATTTAGTTCCATTTTATAAACATTTTTTTATTCTAAGAAAAAGATTAATTTAAAAGCAAATGCAATATATAAGACATGCCGTGTCGATCTTATAATTTATTTTCATTCTAATATCAGAATAAAGAAATATTTACCTAATTAATTCAGTTCTTATTATTCTTCGAATAATAATTATTTTGAAATGCCAATAAAAAGCTAATTCATAGGTTATTAAAATATTAAAATGTCAATTCATTAATGAAATGTATCTAAATAAATTAATAATTACAACTTAAAAAGTTATTTAATAAATGTGCATTTTTATAGAAACGATAAAATCCATAGATTTCTGCCAATTAAACTTGAGAATAGGAATGGTCGATTTTAGTACAAAAAAATTAAAACATTAATTCAAATTTATTAAAAATAATAAGTACTTATAAATGTGAGTCATACATTCATAAACAGATATATTATAATTATTAAAATATTCATGAAAATTAATTATTTATTTTAATATTAATTAATTATAGCGTAGCGATTATCTGTATAATAAATAAGTAAATGGCCGATATTAAAATAACGTTTAAAAGTGAAAACGCTTATATTAAATGATTAATGATAATTAAGAATAAATTGAGAGAATTCAATTTATTATTTAACTTTTTCATCTTTTCAATGCAGCTTTTTTATTAATAAAAAACCATTAGCTGTACTTCCAATAAAATAGAAATAATATTTTGTGATTCCAAATGAATACTTATATTTATATAGGAAAACATATGTTACTTGTTATGTTATCGAAGAAATAACAGAAAACAGTATCATTAATATCATCATTTTTTTTACATTTTTGAAATTATTTTTTACAGAAGTAACAATATACATCATTTTTCATATAAACTTTATAAAATCTAATTTTATTCAATAATAATTGAATAATTGATTCATTCATTCACAAGAAAAATATCTGTACTAATTAATAATATTAAATATTACTTGAATTTAATATTACTTGTTAAATAATATCAGAAACTAAATACTGTTATCCCATTATCATAATATAGCTTAGGACGAGAGCCGAAACTCTAGTTAGCGGTGATTATCTGGCATTTATAATTTCTAATAAGGCGAAATCCACGTCCTGATACTTGGATATAATTATAGAGAAAATGAGAAAAACAGTTGGCACGCAATACAATCAAATTGATAAAAAGTCAATTTCACCATATAAATTGATATTTATGAGTATAAATGAAGTTAAAATTCATGGTTCTGGATATCGTATGCAGTAGTTAAAGGAAATTGTCCCCTAGGAGAAGACTTCGAGGACCTTCGATTCGATAAATCGAGGGCGAATCAAATATATCGCAATGCGATTTGACTTAATAACGGGACTTACTCAAAGACCACCAGCTGATTACGAAAATCTTATTGTTTTACATATAAACATTTATGGAGCATAAAAATAAAAAAAAAAAGCTAAATTTAAAACTCATAAAAATTAAAATTTGAATGTGAAATGCCATAAATATAAAACAAATTGTTATCCTTATATAGGTTGCATGGCTACGTGTAAATACACAAACAATTTTAACGATAGCCAATCACGTAATTACAAAGAACCACAGGATTGGGGTAACGCATAGTGATCATCGAACATGGTACTTACACATTCGAGATGTTCACGAGTCTGATGCAGGTGATTACATGTGCCAAATAAATACGGATCCGATGAAGAGTCAAATTGTATATTTGGAAGTCGTTGGTAAGATCTATCATATATATATTTCATTTATTGGTATTAGGAATTTCAATGATTAGATAAATTTTACGTAGGTAAAATTTTGTTAAATATTCAATACATAAAGTTTTTTATCGTTATTTTCCTGAATTTATTTCTATTTTGAGTTGCTATATTTTGAGATTATACCGAATCATTAGACTAAAGCAAAATGAAATAAAGGTTAAACGTAAATAACATTATCCATGTATTTAATAAAATCCGTTTAGAAGTTTTAGTCTATTTATTATGTGATAGGTAATTCAATTATTAAAAATTCAAATAATAATTATTATTTTTGATAACCAGCAAAGTGAAGCTCTCTATATTTTCCTCAGTATCTTTATCATTTTTATGCAGTACAGTCGAAAAAATTCGATATTTTGTAAGGTATTTAGTATTATGTTAATGATTTAATAAGAATATTAACGTGGATATAACATTAATGGCATAAAAACTAATGAATTTACGATAAATACATTATTATATACAAAAAATGTAGCTGCAATTCTTACTTGTTTGGTACATTTGGATTTTAAATATAAGCCCTTTAAATATACTTGATTTTAATTTTCGAATGAGCTTAAGCTTTAATGATTAATAGATGAAATAGAATATGACGAACACAATTTGTTTAATGAGGCAGTCAGTATAAACTTCCCTTGGGCTGCCATTGCTATTGTAAGCTAAAGAGACTCCCGGACGTATTTGGTAATTACAGTGCCGCCCGACATTCTGGATTATCCAACAAGCACGGACATGGTTGTTCGCGAAGGTAGAAATGTGACGTTGAAATGCGCGGCGACAGGTACGCCGAATCCGAATATTACTTGGAGGCGCGAGGCAAGCGAGCTCATACCTCTTAATAACGGACAAGAAGGTAAGACTTTTATTTATTACTTGTATCGCAGTCTCGTGTTTATTGACGCTTTCGACACACATTATTTTCTGTTTGATCTATTTAATATTTTATTTCTTCCCGTCTTAAGTTACTCTCAACTTGAACTAAATTTTCATTACTTTTAAATCAATGATTCACACATAAATGCTTACTGATCTTTGATCATTTTACTTATGTTTCAATATCTTATTTGAAACTAAATTTTGTAACAATTGAATAATTATATTATTAATCTCATACTATTTAATCATTTATTTTATTTCTATTTTCGTTTCAAAATAATATTTCAGTTAAACAGTTAAATGTAATTCTGTTACGCATATTAAAAGAATATTTACCTAAAGAATTATTACATGTTTAGCTTGAAAAATAGTATAACAATTTATTTGTCTATTGGTATTTGAATTTCATTTAGTGAAATTAAAACGAAGCTCATTTTACCTTTATTTTTTTTCAGCATCATTAGCTATCTTTACCATTTACTTGTATATTAAAAATTTATTTATTAATTCAAAAACTTTTTCAATTATCTAATACATATCTGTCTCATTTTTTAAAATATAACTTTAGAAATACAAATATTCTATACTATTTAGATTATATTATATTAACGAAAATTCAAGTATTAGTTACATCCATGAAAATGATTTCTTGTATTAAATATAATATAAAATACTATAGCATTGAATGTAGTTGAGTGGTATCGTATGTGTAACGTATATTAATTTTTAATAGATGAATTTTTTTTAATTACTGTGGCTGTGCCAATATTTATTGGACAATATAAGTAAGCTGGATATAACTCAAGTCAGACAAGGTGTGCAAACTTACTAAAAACAAAAACTGATATTGACCAACACTATGTATAATCTATAAAGTACTATAATCTATCGTCCGGTCGTTAATAATACCTCTTTGTCGGTAAGATATGGAAAGCAAGAAAACCTGTCGAGTACTGGTTGGCGAATAACGCTCTAACACGACTTCATGACTGTTTTACTTGGTTAGCTGCTTCACCTCGATATTGATTTGGTTTACGGCAATTCAAAAACAAATGCGTAAAAACATCAAATTATTTATGATTTACTACTTTATATACATATAATAAACGATATCTAATATTATCAAATTTTATAATAAATATTTTATATTTTATATCTTATAATTTTTTTTTATCATTAATAAATTATTACTATTAAATAGGATAAATTTACAAATTTCAAACTTGCTATATAAGTGTCAGTTATAAAAGATTCTATATTAATTGTAAAATAAATATATGACCCGATAATGAGTACGGTGTCGCTCCAATGAACAAATTCAACCGAATTCTTTTATCCAATTACATTGTAGATATTTATTGTAGTTATTAGCGTGGAAGGAGCATTCTTCAATATAACAAGAGTGAATCGTCTACATATGGGTCCATATTTATGCATAGCATCCAATGGCGTGCCGCCGACCGTTAGTAAGAGGATCATGTTGATAGTTCAATGTGAGTTTATTTTTATAACCTTTATGGTTTATTAAATCATTTAACTATAGGTGCGTTTTAATTACTAATAATATTTTAATTCAATTTAATGTAGCTTCATAATTATACGATTTGCATGTACAAAAAAAAATGAATTTTTTTTTCATAGAATTATCAAAAATACTTTTTAAATGAATATACAAAGGATTTTTACAGTAATAGTATCAAATAATTTATAATTTTTATCTTTAAAAGTAGTATCTAGAAATTTGATTTTCTCTGTATTATTATATATATTTTGTATTTTATTTGGATAATCTTTCTTTCCTAACATAACATACCGATCGCCCATTGCGATTTTTAACAATTTTATTCCTAAAAATTTTTCAAATATCTCTACTATAACGTACCATGGTCTTATAAAACAATTAGATCTTTTTAAAAATTTTGGACACCGTTAAAAATACATTTTAGAACTACAAATTAAACTAGATTTTTTTATGCTTAAAAGCAAATAGCCAATTTCCTGAATTTTAGCGTAGTTAAATAAAGATTTAAATATAGTTTATTTTTTCATTAAAAAAAATTCAGATCAATAATGAATCTTATTATAGAATAGTAACGTATTCTTTTAAAAACTCTAACAATATTGTTTAAATTAACATAATAATATATCATACAATATAAACCAAGTTTGATTAGTTTTCTTTTTTTAATTTAAAGCGAAATGGTTTGATATACAAGCATGCATCTACTAAAAGAATGTAATAAATTACTTTTCCTTTCCCTTTATAAGTTCCACCGATGATATGGATTCAAAATCAACTAGTTGGTGCTCAAGTTGGACAAGAAATAACTCTGGAGTGTTTATCGGAAGCTTTTCCTAAGTCTGTAAATTATTGGACTCGAGACAATGACGACATTATAGCAAATAGTAAGTATATTATATTATTAATAGTAATATAATGGTGTAGTTTAATTATAATTTATTATAATTTTCCATACATTCGATCCTTAATTAACATTTAATGACTCACGTATCATAAATAAGAATTTGATAAACTAGCTTTTCATTAGATGCATTGTAATAGTATTATATTTCAATATGCTCGTGTATATAATATTATATATATTATCTGGTATATTTATTGCTTATTATTTATTTTGTAGATAAAAATACTCATTACTTCATAGGCTATGAGAAATAAAAAAAAAATATATTTTTTGTTAAATCTAAAATACTGATTTATGCAATATCTATTAATATAAATTATTAATATATTTATTATTAATATATTATTATTATATTATATTAATATTTTATATTAATATAATATATTAATATTTTATATTAATATAATATATTAATATATTATATTAATAATATACATAAACTATAAATTGCTGTAAAATATTGAATTTATTATTAGATTAATAATTTCTTAAATTATACAAATTCTTTTCAATAAACATTAATATGATAGAATTAGAACATGGTCGAATAGTTATTAAAAAACGATTTCGAATAATTATTTATTTCTTCTTAGAAACGTTTATGTACATTCGCATATAACGTCTGTGAGTAGGCGCATATATATTGTATATTATATATATATATATATTGTATGTAATATAATATATATATATATATATATATATATATATATATAATATGTAATATAATATATATAGATATATAATATGTATATTACAATCTTAATTAAACGCAGAGAAGTTTAATAATTGAATTTATGAATCAACAATAGATAAGCAGAAATACTTTATAATAGCCATTATGCGTTTGCTTAAATTTGATTTAAAAGTATCATTGAATGATCATGCTTGATCTTCATTTGAAACAGCAATAAAATAAAATATTACTGAATCAATACTTTATTTTAATAATTATTTTTTTTTTCATTTCTATTTTTATCCTAGATTAATTTAATACTTATATTTATTATAAATATTCATTTTGTATACGTTAGTCAGTTTTGAATTCTATTATGATAATTATCTCTAAATCCAAGTATAGAAAATAGAATAAATCAGATTAATAAACTATCTTTCTCGGAGTTCTTGCAAAGATATTGAAGCTAAGGTGAATAATGATCCGAAAGCGCAAGTGATTCCCTTTTAAGTGAATAGGGGAAGGTTGCCGACACGGCAAGAAGATGTGCGCGAATGAGAACTGATTAATCTTTCGCTAATTACCTTCTTCCTCTTACAGTAAGGATAGAGATATATCTAATTATTGAAAAGAATTAAAAAGGGTAAAAAGAGTATAATTTCTGAATATGATCGAGTGTATGTTTCTTACCAATGATTAAATACTACCTCAATCACAATTATGAAATTAGCTATTTTACTACCAGTTCAATAATTTTTTATAATGCATATCAAATCAAAATTTGTAGGAAGTCAATAGATTGAAATATTTATCGATATAATTTAAATCATTTAAAATATAATTCATTCATCAATTTACATCATCGAATATTAATAATATGAAAACGAAAGCGAATATTATTTCTATTTTAATATAGCTGGTAACGTATTTAATAATAAATATTAAAATGTAAATGATTATATAAATTATAATATTTTTATTATTAATTTTAAGTATTTCATGTTAGTTATCTTGTGTTTACATATATCATGTTTACACAAAGTCAGAAACTTCGTTTCACATATGTAAGTAAAATTTGTATATTCTTTTGTTTTTATGAGCATTATGTAACGAGAAGTTTATTCTACATTACACATATCTAATTAAACAATTATTATTGCTCACATCGTATCGCTTACATAATATCGACAACAATATTGGAAATGCAGTTATATAATATAATAATTACCCTGTAGGCATATCTTTTATCCATTCATTTACACATCTCTTGGCGTTGTACAATAGAGATTTCAAAATTATAATTAAAATATCACTCGAGCTACGACAAAATAGAAAGTGAATCCATCAATTCCATTTGTTTATAGTCGCTCTTTTAATTTGACACTACCCAACAATCATGCTCCAATAACATTTCATATGCAATTCTCGTGCGGCAAAATTACTGGACGTTATTCCCGCATTCATCCATATACATTTTAATCGCAGATCAAGGTAGCGAATCCTAATTCCCCAATGGAAAGCATAATTAACTGTATGAACATGCTGTCAAGTACGCTGATCATCCTGGCTTCATTGTACCTCTCGATTTCACACGATTTCACTATCATGCGTGCCAACTATCTTCGAGTTAAAATATTACTCGAATAAATTGTTGCCGTTGTGCCACATACCATCATAACGTTGCATTGCCGAATCTAAACATTGAATTCAATCTTAAGTAAAGCCCTGTCCATTCTTAAATTTATTTTACAATGCACTATGTTTGAAATTCAGTTAACAAGACATTTTTCGTAGAATAGATTTCTTGATAACTAAATTATTCCTTAAGGCAACATATTGTTATTTCAATTGCCTTTGAAAAAAAATTTTTTTTTTATTTTGGCTGGATATACATTACGTGAATTAGATATGACATTATTCGGCTATATTATTTAAATTAATAATATAAAACAACCAAAATTGTTAATTAAAATGCTATGTATGATTTTTAAATGGCATTTTATTCTCTATAGTTAAATTATATAATACAAATATTTCATTTTAAATTATTTATAAAACAATTATACTTATAAAAGAAAATATCTACAATATGTTTTTAAATATTGTAGATATTTTCTTTTAAATATTGAAAAAATAAAATATTAAATATTGCTAAACACATAAAGTGCATAAGGAGGTATTGTTATAATTTTGTGTTCAAATTCTATACTTCATAATTCAATGCATAAAAAATATTAAGATAATTATATTAAATATTATTGTTGGTCAAAAAAACAAGGATAAACATTAGTATTAACTTAAAGGATGCATCGCATATTATTATTAACATAACGATTAATATTAATCTGAATTTAATTATAAATTTTGATTGAAAATGTTTGGTAATGAAACAAATGACGTTACAATTCTTATTTCTATAAATTTCTATAATATAATTAGCTTGACGAACTGTTAGTTGTGCGAGTATTTCGTGTTTTACAGTTATAAATTGGAATCCAGACTCGTTAAAAGGAGAATTAACGATTCAGGAAAAAAAAATACTTACCAATTAATAAAAAATAAAACTATTTATAGTGTATATTGTAAATATGAATTACAATATGTTTTTAAATATAAATAAGTTTTTTTTTTTAACAGAAAATAAGATTGTCTTTTAAAAATTATTTGTTTTTTTTTAATCGACTAATATTGTTCAAATGTTCTAAAGAGTATTATAACGCTTCTTTTATAATTTCATATATTTCAAAATAAAATTAATTGAATTCTATAGAAGTCGTAGGACTAGAATTATACAAAAGAAAATGTAAAATTAATTACTGTATTCGAAACGTGAAAAATGCTTAATTTATGCTCTCCTATACTTAGAGACGCTTTGAACAAGAAAAGTAGGACGAGACCACAAGGACAGAGAATACGATTTAAAAATTAGATGAATAAGAGAAAACTTATTGTTCGAGATATAGACGATTACCGAGTTCTTAAGAAGTTTAATCCTGATTATTTATAGGTATACTTATATTTATAATACTTATATTATTATAGGTATACTTATACCTATTTATATATTTTTTGTAGCATCGTATACGGTGCGAATCTCTGACAATGCAACAACAAAATGACAATTTTCGTTTGTAATTTGAAGTACTTTTTTTATTTTGTACGATGTGACAATCACCAAATTCATTATATATGAGGTTATAACAACGTTTTTTTTTTGTCGTATTAATGAATATGACAGTGTCAATATATATTACAGAAAGTACGTGCTTAATTTAAGTTAATTAATTCTCAATCATTTATGTTGATCTTACGGTCATGCAATTCAAATAAATCATTTTATTTTAGTAATTTAATAAAGATCTATATTCACAACATTTTATAATAAGAAATATTACAAAAAGATAAGTACTTGAATGATTTGATAGTACAAATGTTGTTTGCACCACTATAAATCAATAGCAAGAACGGAAACCACACAAAATTGAGAAACGAAGTTGGCAAAGGAGTTTTTTATGTACGTACGTAAGAGCGATAAATTGAATTTTTCTTTAGCGGCGTCTTAAAAGTTTAGTCGTCAAGTATGCGTCAACGAATATGCCATGAAATGCTCGGAGCCCGATTCCTGTAGCGAGCAACTCGGACTTCCCTCAGCTTGATTTTTCTCCTGGCTTTATCCTTCTCGAAAGCTAGAAAATGTATATTCGATACTCGGGCGTGATAAAGGTTGGTTGGTGATTCAACGGTGATTCAGAACTTTTTCGTTTGCTTTCTGAATTTGAACCCAATGCAAGTTTTTCTGGAGTTAGAACTCCAAACGAAGATACCGCGTTCTCTCGCCATATCATAAATATATTGCCTTGATTGAGCGACTCGCTATTACTAGCCACCCCATTGGTAATATTTTTTTTTCTTGTCATTTACCTTGTTCTTATTAAATTACTATCCTACTTGATTTTGCTTTCTCCCTATTTTCTATTACGTTAATCGCAACGAACGACAATATTTAAAATTTCTACGTGTCAACAACATTAATCTGCATATTATTATTTTACAAATATTATTTGTTTTTTTTTTATAACATATAATTTATAATTAATTCTAAAAATTATTTATAAATGCTTAAATTTTTTAATAATAGCTTGTACAAAATAATTTTATGAAAGCTTATAATGTATTTAGCACTGGCAGAATATATTTTTTTTAAATTACTATTTTTTCTTTGTAAAGTAACAGATACATTAAAAATTAATTATTTTAATACTCTTCAAATAACTCATCTATAAATAATAAATTATCTACTACTCAACGTGGCTATAAAATTATTAAAATACATTTAATATCGATTTGTTAAATATTTTTATAATAAATTCATATGTCATGTCTGCTTTACTCTTATTTCTTTAAATAATAATTTGTTAAAAAGTCTTTATTAATTTTTAATTAAAATTTTAAAAAAAAAATTAAAATTTATTGAATTTTAATTTTGAATAACTAAAAGCATCATATTGTTAATTAAAACTTCAAAATGTTCGTATTAAAAATGTAATACTGCCGTACGCTGGTATGAAAATTTTTGATGGTATGAATAAGCATTTTATGGCAAGTATTAAACTTTTTAAATTGAGTATTGACAATGCTGATGTTTCCATGCTTGTGATATTTTCATGTGATCTTTATATATATAGATATATATATATATATATATATATATGCATGCATGCATGTATAGTCAGTAAAGTAAAAATATTCACGCTACAGACAAACGAAAAGTCAATTTTTAAAGTAGAAATTGACGGTCTTGGAAGCGTTTTAATGTCAGGTTTTCTAGTTCATCGGGCACAAAATATTACCGCCGTCTTATCACCGCGTATTTGTACAAGTTGGAAAAGTATCGACGAATTTTATTCTTCCGTATTCCAAATATTCAGCATTTTATTTTGTCAAACGGTATTCAAATAGGTACTTCAAGGGAAAAACGTAGCTCCGAGTTCACGTTTAAACTTCCGTTATTCCTTCTTCTTTTGCCTTTTGATTCGAACATAGTGTTGTCATCCTGTACTTCGATTGCCAAAATAAGAGTGGGAAAGA